GGATAGGATGGGATAGGATAGGATAGGATAGGATGGGATGGGATGGGATAGGATGGGATGGGATGGAACAGGGATGGGATAGGGGTGGGATAGGGATGGAACAGGGATGGGACAGGGATGGGATAGGGGTGGGATCCCCCCAGGCTCACCTTGGCAGGCTCAGAGGTGTCCATGGGATGGAATAGGGATGGGACAGGGATGGGACAGGGATAGAACAGGGGTGGGATCCCCCAGGCTCACCTTGGCAGGCTCAGAGGTGTCCATGGCAGAGCTGTCCACCTCGGCCGCCTCGGCCTGGGCAAACTCTGGGATGGGAGAAGCAGCAGCTCAGGAAGGATTCCCACATTCCCACCAGGGCCCAACCCCACAGTGGGACACGTTCCCAGGGGTTCTCCCGGGGTTTTTCCCTGGGGAATGGCCTCACCAGCCCCCTGCAGGGACATCTGCATGGCGTAGGCGATCTGCTCCTCCTCCGTCATGGAGCTGAGGTCGGGCAGCCCCGCCCGGCCGAACTCCTGCTGGGTGATGGTCATCTTGAGCAGGGCATCGTCCGACTCTGCGGGCACAGACACGGTGTGGGCACTGCCGGGGACCCACAGACCCCCACAGACCCCCACAGACTCCCACAGAGCCCACGGGGGGCACTGCCAGGGCCTGGCCCAACTCCTGCTGGGTGATGGTCATCTTGAGCAGGGCATCGTCCGACTCTGCGGGCACAGACACGCTGTGGGCACTGCCAGGGACCTATAGACCCCACGGGGGACCCACAGACCCTACAGGGACTCACAGACCCACTGGGGGCACTGCCAGGGACCCACAGACCCCACTGGGGGCACTGCCAGGGCCCGGCCCAACTCATGCAGGGTGAGGGTCACCTCGAGCAGGGCATGACCCGACTCTGGGGGCACAGCCCCACCAGGGTCAGCACCGAAGCCCTTCCAGAGCCTCCCCACCCTCCCAGGGCAGGATTTACCCCCAGTCCCCGACCCAAACCCGCCCTCCTGCCCCCCCAGACCCCCCTGGTGCTCACCATCCCCGGCGGTGGCCGCAATCCCGGCCTCGGCAGCCGAGGCGGCCGCAGCCCTTCGGGCCTCCTCCCCCTGCCGCTGCCTCTGCTCCTCCATGGACACCCTGAGAGCCTGGCACAGACAGGGAGGGCACTGGCACACAGCTGGGGTGCAGCCACACGACCCCTGAGGCTGGAAAAGCCCTCCCAGCCCATCCCAGTCCACCCTGTGCCCCATCCCCACCTTGGCACTCCACACTTGGCATCCCCACCATGGCCAGTCCTGCCCTGGGCACCNGAGCACCCCCCGGGGGCCGGCGCTGGTAACCCCGGTAACCCAGAGGTTATTTTTGGCATCCTCTCGAATCTGAGAGGTTTCAGGGCGCCTCTCTCTCACCGCTTGGGGCTTTCTCTTTCCCTTTCGTTTATGCCTCTTTTCTCCAGGATCGGCCCTTTCCTTCCCTTTCACTTCCAACACCTCACGGATCCACGGTTTCAGCTTCCAAAACCTCGTGGATCCACGGTTTCAGCTCCCAAAACCTCGTGGATCCTTTCATGGATCCGCGGTTTCACCTCGGAAATGGGCGGCCAAAGCTCCCCCGGGGAGAGGCACAGCCCTCAGAGGGCACCTGATGCCTCAGCCCACGGCAAGAACAGAGGCTTTGGCAGGAATTCCTCATCCCAGGGGTTTCAAAGTGCCTCTTTGGTTTGGAAAATAGCCCCGGGACAGAAGTCCTCGTCCTCTCAGAGAGCCCCAGCAACACCCGAATTGCCTCGACAATGTTTTTATGTCCAACAGAACAGTCAATAACTTCACAACTCAGTCCCAGAGGGCCCCGCTCTGCATAAATTTGCATATTACTCAGCGGAGCCAATCAAAGGTGGGAGGGGACGGGGCTGTTCTGTGGAACAGCGGGGGGAAAAGGGGCTCATCCTCCCCATCGAGCTCTTCCTGCTGCTCAGTTCCCTCCAAATTCCCTTTAATTCATCCTTCCAAAGGCTCCAATCCCCTCGGGAAGGACGCGGCGGGGCCGGTCCTGCTGGGCTCCCATGCAGGTCCCTCCCATTCTGCTCCAGAATCGTGGAATATCCCGAGTGGGGAAGGAGCCACGAGGATCACCGAGTGCGGGTCGTGTCTCTGCACAGAACAGCCCCAAAACTCACACCAGAACCCCCGGGAATCCACCCCAGCACATCCTGGGGGAAGCTGGGGGTTCTCTCTTGCAGAGCTGGAAAACCAGAGTTTTCCCGCTCTCTGGATCCACCTTTGGAACCTGTGAGCTTCTCCCACTCCCATTTTTGAAGCGGGAGCAGCAGCAGCCTGGCTTCGACCCCTCTCGAAAATTCCCTGAACGCCACAAGCCAAACCCACCCCCGACAGCAAACAGAGCCCACCGAGACCCCCCTCCGGCCGGGTGAGGGGCTTGGATGGAATTATTGAGGAATGACTATTGAGGAATTCCCCCCGCAGCAGCCCCGGGGTCAGGGGAGATCACTGAACCGGGAGGATTTCGGAAGCGCAGCCGGTATTTTCAGCCTGGAAAGGGAGGCACCGCCTCCCTCTCCGAGTCCCTCCTCCCGTGCGGGGCAGGCGGGGGGGGGGGACGGGACATTGCGGAACCCGCCGCCGGTTGGGAAAGAAACGGGTTCTTTTCATCGGGGAGATGAAGGTGCTTCACCCCCACA